GATTCAACTGAATCAAGAGGTTAATAAAAGATTCAAATTTGAAAATTTGAAAATAAGGAACAAAGGTCGGGATATGTATAATTTTTTTTTTACTAATTAATTTTTTTTCGAGCAAATAGAATTGTATTCTTTAAAAAATGTAAAGTTTTTTAATTAAACTGATTAAAGATTAAAAAAACAAAACGATTAGAACCTACTTACATTCGGTCCAGTTAAAAAATAAACAGAGATGTAAACAAAGGAAATTGAAGTTAATAAGGTTAATATAATTAAAGTTAAATTTTGTAGCTTGTGATGTTAAGATGAGTACGGATATTGTGTTTGTTTGGAAAACAAAAGAAATACTTGAATTCCAGTTATTAACGTTAATAAAAATAAAAGAGTGAATTATATCCCTTACACAAACAATGAATTATTTTTTTTCTTAAAAAGAAAAGCGCAAACGAATACATTAATAAACACCACGTAACATTTTGTTTTTGTTGTACTCAACATAGCAAAACATCACAAACTTGGACATTTAATAAACGTAAGTTAAAAAAGATGCAAACACTTAAAGATGTAACTCCAACAAAAAAAATGTCTATGCAAGAGTTTGTCAAATAAACATCATGTCCCAAGACGCAAAATAACACTCTTCAGTCACAGCAGCCCAATCTACAGCGTACTCTCATCTGCCTCTGCATCAAATCTATTTAAAAAAAAAGAAAAAATAAATTATCACTGTTTTCACTTCGCGTAAGAAAAAATACATATAAACACAAATGAATTTTAAATAAAAATATAAGAACCACAGTACGTAACTCCTTTTCAAGCTTTATTTTCTTTGTCGGCCGAACAGCTGAAAATTTAAATTCTCCAGCAATGGAATCATGAGAAGTGAGCACAGGTGTCAACATCGTCAGAGAGACATCACTAACGTCAGCACTGTCACAGGTCTGACTTTCAACATCCTGTGTTTTTTTTTTGTTTTTTTTTTCAGATAAAAAAGGTATGTCAAATATGTATTTATATATTTTTAATAACATGAATCTAAATCGAATTCATAGCTCACCGCAACCTTTTCCAGTTCCGGCGAAACAACTTCATTTTCGCGTGCATTATCGAAATTTGCTTCATCCTGTGATAGACAACAACCAACAACAGTAAATATAATGTATAAGAAAAATAGTTATCTAAAAGAAATATATAAGCAGCATACATTTGGATCTATAAGAGACTTAATGAACGCTGAGGTTACAACTTGATATTTGGGCTCACTATTTGTGTTCAAATCCTTTTGCTTAACTTTTATCTTGAACAACATTGACTTTTCATTCAGAACATTTAACTCATTTGGAAATTGATCCAAATCGGCACCCTAAAAAAAATGAAAAGAGAAAAAAAATTATTCTAAAAAAAAAGAACAGAACATAGACAGCGCAAACAGAGAGCACAAAACGACAAAAAATACATTTTAACCATAACACAGCAATTAAAAAACAAACCCTCTTGAAATGCAGCTCGCGCAATTCAGCAGCACTCATTCCCAACAAAGACACACAGTCGCGATCAAACAGAATAAAGGATGCGGAATCTGTGTTATCCACAACTCTGACCTAAACACTAAATCTGGAGTTTTGCGAAATTGTATATCAGCAACGTACATGAATGATACGGATTAAAGACAGGTTATAAACTAAGAAGAATATTTTACCTCGGATAATAATCTTCCCAATGTTTTTGGCAGTTCTTACAATACCACTTCTCAAAATCCTCATAAACGGAAAATGGACACTTTTTGCATGACTTGTACCACCAGTTGTATTTGCTCTCAATTGCCTTTATAGTCCCGTATGTGATGCAGGTAGTTACCTTAATTAAAGCAATCGCAGTTTAACATAAAATATCATCAATACAAAATTGACAGAATTAAAGGAAAGTAAAAATTAAAGAAAAGTAAAAATAAAATTTGAACATTTACCTCAACACAAAGTTTCACATCACTGATAGACTTTTTTTCAGTCTCCTTAAGAAAATCATTTTCGAAAGAATAGGATGACTGAGTAGACAATTGAGTCATCCTTGTACTACTTTCCACACCATCAATCGAGAGACTATAACGCAAAAATTAATAATTTAAAAATCAAAAAAATATGAAAATCCATTAATCAATAACCGAATAAATGAGCTGAAGAAAGAAGGTACACACCATTTTTTGAACTCAACAATCTCATTCAGTTTTGAATCCATTACAATCCTTGTTGTATATTTTGTATTTGTTATCCCGACCTTACCTATTGAGTTAAAAGGTTCAGATAAACATTGAATACAGAAGCAAAATTAATTAAAATAACGTGCATAAAAACTGATTATAAAAGAAAAAATTAAAACAACGTTGTTTGGAAAAAACATACCTCTAAAACACTTAATCCTTCCCAATTGGACTATCAGGACGTTATGAGGATCGTCGTTGTCTGCCAAAAAAGATTGGACCTCATCCACATAATGCTCCCACAAAGTGCACTCCAACTTATGACCCCTACACGTGAGTTGCAGCAAGCACAACGTTAATACGCGTAAAATATAAGCTATGTTAGCTGGACAAAAATAATTCATTTAACTAAACATTTGTAAGTACCTCAGGTCGTCAAGCTCCAACACCACCATTTTTGTCTTCCTACCAGAAACCACACGATCACAAACTTTCCCAATTCTTGATATTAAACCAATGACGTCTACAAAAAAAAAAACGCAGCAAAGAGTTTGTGAAAAAAATTATGCAATAATAAAAAACGAATACAGAAACATAAAAAACACAGTTAATGAAAAAAATAATGATACAGAATAAGATTACTCGTGACAAAATATTAAAAACACAAAACTATAACCGCAAAGAGTTTAAAAATAAGGAAATAGTCATGATACAGAATAAACCAATGACGTTTAAAAATTAAAAAAAGGCAGCAAAGAGTATGGGAAAAAATAAAACCCGCAATAATTAAAAAAAGGATAACAGTGAGGAAGAACTATTACCGACTAAGTAAGGTACCTTTGACAGTGGTGTGGATCCTACCACCCTACAAAAGAATGGAGCCAACTTATGTCAACAACGTTAACTAAAATGATCAAAACAAAGATGGAAGATTTTTAAAACACAAAACACAACCTGTTCATCCAATAAAACCATTTCAAGATTGTCCTCCAAATTTTTACGCTGAAAGTTAGGAACTTTCCAAGTCCGAACCACCTTCACCTTAATCCTCCAGTCCTCTTTGGCAGGATTAACATCCTTCAGAAAATCATATTTTGAACTCATATTTTGTGTAAGAAGAAAAAACAGAGAAGCAATCACCGACGTTGAAGAATAATGCGTAGCAGGAATTGTATAAATGAGAGTGATTTATAGTTTTTGAATTGTCTTCTTTAAAAAATGTGAAGTTTTTGAATTAAACTGAACAAAGATTTAAAAAACAAAGAAAAAGACAAAAGAGTGATTCAGTAGTTATAAATGAGATTTTCATGGAATAAAACAGTCATTTGTTTTAATAACAATATGAATATCCCATTTTTTTTTCAAAAAACGTAAAGATTTGAATTAAACTCAATAAAAGTTAAAAAAAATGATTAGAGTACATGATAACCATCAATTATTTAAAAAACGAAGATGACGACAAAAGAGTGATTCAGTAGTTATAAATGAGATTTTCATGGAATAAAACAGAAGTTTTTTCTAATAACAAAACACTCATACCTGATTCCACTGAATCAAGAGGTTAATAAAAGATTCAAATTTAAAAATCTAAAAGTAAGGAACAAAGGTCGGGATATGTATAATTTTTTTTTTTTTACTAATTAATTTTTTTTTCGAGTAAATAGAATTGTATTCTTTAAAAAATGTGAAGTTTTTGAATTAAACTGAATAAAGATTTAAAAAACAAAGATAACGACAAAGAGTGATTTAGTAGTTATAAATCAAAGAATATCCCATTTTTTTAACAGTCATTTCATGGAATAAAACAGTCATTTGTTTTAATAACAATGAATATCCTGTTTTTTTTTTTTTTCAAAAAACGTAAAGATTTGAATTAAACTGAATAAAGGTTAAAAAAACGATTAGATTACATGATCAACATCAATTATTTAAAAAACAAAGATGACGACAAAGAGTGATTTAGTAGTTATAAATCAAAGAATAAGCAATCTTGACCATTGATTTAAAGTAACAAATCCTGTCAATTGAAAATATAATTCTTTTTTGTATTTATTATATTCACCTATTTACCATTAAAGGAAACTTTTTTAAATGTTGTAGTGTGAACACATTGATGAAATTGAACTACAGTGCGACACGTCAGCAAGGTTTCCACAGAATGGAATTCCTTTATAATATAAGATATTTCTTAATTTTTAAAAAATCAAGTCTAATTTTTATAATTTAAATTAAATTTCCTTAATTTATAATTAGGCCGAATCTTGGGTATTGTTATGCAAGGTAAAAGTATTACATTTTGCACATTAAAAATGTAACACTTTAGCTTGTATATTTATTTATGTGATTAAACTTAAAATATTAATCATTGAAAATATTATTACTTTAAGAGTATGTTAAAATTTTTCCAAATTAATCCATCCGAAACGTTATACCGATTTTTAAATAGGTATATTTCTTAATTTTTAAATAGGTATATTTCTTAGTCCGTTTTTTTTAGTACAATTTCTCTTAGTCCTTTTCAATGTTATTAAAACAGGCCCGGTCAATGACACGGTCAAAGTACTGGGTTATTGGGTCACTGGTTCAACCGCATGACCCGGTAATTATATGCAATTTATAATTTATATTAAAAAATTATAAACATATTCAAATATCTACAAAAAATGATAAAAATTGCAAATATTTTAATATAAAAAATAATAAATCACATATTATTATTTAATAAAAGATCAAAGAGAAATATAATAATCGTGATACGGGACTTTAGGTTCAGAAAATGATATCTCTAATTATAAATTAAATCAAAATTTTCTACATAGTGCATAATTGAGATAATATTAATGTTGTAGGTGCATAACTTATGTAAGTAATAAATAAAAAAATATTTAAATATGTCCATTATGAATTTTGTTTTGAAAAAAAAATGTTTGGAATTTTTTTTTTGGGATCGGGCCGGGTCATCGGTTTTCATGAAAACTGACAGGGTCAGACCGGGTCGCACCGGTTCTGATGCATGGCCGGTCCGTTGCTTCATCCGGACCGGTTATATGACCGATTTACCCAGTGGCGGAGACGGGCTTCAATTTGAGCCCATGCCAAAAATTATGTGTATTTTTTTGTTAAATTTAATTAATTCATATTATAATATATTTAAATTATATACAAAGCATCTGAGCAGGTAGCACTAAGAAAAATTATAATTTTATTAAATATTTTTTTTTATACAAGTGAGAATTGAACACATAACCTAATACAACTTACTCAAATCTTTTATCAAATATATTTTAATTTTTAGATAAGGCCAAACACAAATTTTAGCCCGGGCCACATGACAATTTTAACCCAAATCAAATTATAATTAATTATATAATTATATATAATAAGTACAACTTATTAAAATTTAATCTGAGTCGAGACCACCCCTAACACTACACCAAACACGGCATTTTACCACGACAATTTAGTAATGACTGAAATTCGTTGCAATTTAATAATGACTATTGTAATGACTAGTGTACATTAGCCACGTGACCACACGTTAGTCTATTTCTTTCCCCTTCACCACAAAACCCTATTTCTCTTTCCCTCTCTTGCTTTTTCTTTCTTTGGAGATGCAATTGGTGGTGTGAAATTTTCTCCATGTTACGCTCTCTGTTCTTCATATGTTGTTCGATTCTTCTTCAGTTCCTCCACAAGCTAGGTTCATAATCCGATTTCCATTTGAACTTCACCTCTGAATCTGAGTTTTCCTTCTTCTATATGTTTTTCCTTCAGATTTGTACTAATTTTGAGTGCAATGTTTGCTTCATTTTCATTCAATTTTAGTTTCTGAGCTAGTCTCGTTAACAATAGCTTAAAACTAATTTATGATTTTTTTATTTTTTTTTATATTTCAGAAACTTTGTTTTCACTGTTTCCTTCAGTTTCTAAGCTAGATGTTATTTTGGAATACGGTTTCAATCTCCAGAGATCGGGTGCGATAGTTCGAGTTGAAGTTCAATTCTCGATCCTTGATTTCAATCTGTTGAAAATGTACACGCATGGTTCTGTTGGCCTGTGATTCCTATTCAGCCAAGGTTCATATCTAAGAAATGGTAATTGAGCTCCCGCTTCTTCTACTGTATCAATTTTGGTTAGTTGATAGAATCTGCCGCCAAAAAAGTATGTTAGTGTTATGATGATGAATAATTTGATGATTCTCGCTTCTTTCAATTAGACTGATATACCTTACCTCTGTATGAATATCCTTAGTTGATAGATTTTTCAGTGAAAAAGTGTGCTAATGTTCGATTTTTCCCACAATTAGTTGTGAATATTTTTTTACAGATCTTGAAATTCTTCATAATTTCCATGTCAAGAGCTATGGAATTCCAAAATCATTTTTTAGGTATTTAAAACATAGAGTTGGAATGGAATTTTCTGCCATCCAAGGCCACAATTGTTTGTCAAGCTCACTGTCTGAGATTTTTAACCAAAAGTGTAAGAACTTGTTTCATGCATCCTGAGAATGCATGTATAATGGGTATTACAGCATAGTTAAGTGATCAGTATTGATGCCTTTTCATCTTTATAATACTTTGGAAACAATATTTTGTTGCATCACTTTGCTTGTCATCATTGGATAATGGATATTAGCTTAAATGTTTGCTTTATTGCCCAATGTAGCAGAAAAAAAGAAGGGCACCTCACCCCAACCCCCACCTCACCCACTCAGAAAAGTTATATTTATTTGTTTAAGATTTTCTGATCTTACTTTAGTTGAATTGATGTCCTTATCTGTGTGTTTATATGCATATCTTGGTGCAGTGAGGTTACCGAGGAATAATGTTCTGTCTGATCGGCCCATTACTGTTGGTTCCCTTCCTGAGGAAGAACCATATAAATCTCTTGAAGAAATGGAGGCTGACACTATAGGGAATCTCCTTCCTGACGAAGATGATCTGTTTTCTGGTGTGGTTGATGAGTTAGGATACGGTTCTCCTGCCAGAACAAATGATGACTTGGAAGATTTTGATCTGTTTAGCAGTGGTGGAGGCATGGAGCTAGAAGGAGATGAACATTTGACTTTAGGCAAAAGTACTAGTGGTCTGGATGGAGATTCTGTTTTCTTGGGAGGTTCTAAAGGAAAACTTCCTTTTGGTGAACAGCCTTCTAGAACACTTTTTGTTCGAAACATTAATAGCAATGTAGAAGACTCTGAGCTAAAGGCTCTTTTTGAGGTGTGTCTTTATTCTTCTTTGCTGCTAGATGTTATTTTGGAATTCTCAGGAAGTATTTCATACCGTTAATTATATTATTTAAATGGACTATTATATTTGTTCGGACAACAATATGGAGATATCCGAACCATTTACACAGCCTGTAAGCATCGTGGGTTTGTTATGATTTCTTATTATGACCTAAGGGCATCATAAAATGCAATGCAAGCATCTAAGACAGTTGTGCCTGCTTCTGGTTCTAACCCTGAGATTCACTCAAACATGTTTATGATATCCAGTGAAAATATTATTCTATTTCAGGTCTGGTGGCCGATATTGACATTGAGTCTGAAAAGCATCGGTGGATGGGAAGTGCTCGTATAGATTTTTATGTTAGTAAGCCATGTCATAATATTACCATCTCATGTTTATTTATGACGCTTTTCTTTCATTAAATGTGTGTCTCTATATATGGATTACTGTTTCAGTTATCTAATACTTGGATTGAAGGCAAGAACATAAATGATATAGCATTTAATCATCGGGCCATAGGAAGTGGGCCAAAGATTCTTATGTAATTATTGGGCATTGAATAATAAACAAATGGCCTCCGATTCGTGCACATTCGCAAAAAGGGTTAAAATCTTAATAAGACTAAATAATTGTTGGCCTATGTATTTTTAATTATTATTTTTTGGTAGTTATGTATTTTTAATTTTTATTCCACTCCTTTGTTGCTATTATTGGAGGCTCATATATTTGAACTTCAATTCCATTAGGTTCCGAAATTTGGATAAAGGAGATGATAGATCACAATCGTGATGTGACCAACGTGTCAATCTTATTGTTAATTCATTAGCAGACAATATGTGAGTTTTGTTTTATTTCATTTATTTATTCATTTAACTAAATGATATAGTATTTAAAGGTACAATAGATTGTTTCAGTTATTCAATGCCCATTTGTTATACTTGTAATGCAATTACTTTGAAGTACAATGATTGAAGTTATTTCTAATTGTTTTCTTTATCATTACCTATTGTTTTAGAGTCTCACTCGAATCTTCCAATTGAGGCATTACATTGGATGTATTTATTTTGTGCTTGCACCTGGGTTTGAAGCTTATGGGGATTCCACTAGTTACCCTGGCCATTCTACTAACAAAGTCAGCAACAGGGATCCAATTGATGTGGAACCTGTGATGTTACAAAGGCTCGGTTACTAGGGACCTGAAATTAACTTGAAGGCTTTTTCACATGCTTTTTTTGCATTTTGTCTTTTAATTAATTATATTTATATTTATTTTCTATTGCTTACTAATTTATTGTTTAATGGTTTACTTTTGAATAGGTGGGCCTGAAGGTTTACGCTTCTCCTCTTAACAGAATTAATTCTTTTAAGGTTTGTTCATATTTTATCTAAAACATAAAAGATAGACATTGAAAAGTTATGTGACATTTTAGCATATCTTATTTAATTTTTTTTATACAGGTATGAATTGGTGATGAGCCCTTTTAAAAGGATAGGATGTATACAACAACAATTCTTGGAAGACAGATTCAAAAAATATGTTGTTATATTTTGTTTAGCTGAACAATGAAGTTAATATTTTGTATAGATGTCTTGTGACAATCACAAACTTATAGTTTTAGCTTTATTTGGCAATTATTTCTCTTAAATGATGTAAGTGGAAAACTTGATTAGCTCCTTTTATTGGTAAAGGAAACTCCTTCAGCTTATATGAAATGGAAAAAAATTATGAATTTTGAGAAATTGTGTAAAAAACATTATTTACTTATATAAATAGAAAAAAATAATGTATTGTGTTAAATTGTGTACTCCACTTTATTTGATTATTTCCCTTAATTTGGTTTTTGGTTCTTATATCAAATGCAATTTTTATTATTTGCTTTTTATATGATTGGGAAAATTTGTAAATATATATATATTTTTTTTAATTCCTTACAATTAGCCACGGTTCTGACTGTGGCTAAATAAAACTTTTCATCATTGGGATCCAAATCGTTTAGGCACGACTATAATGTGGCTAATATAACATAAACCGTGGCTAACTCAATGTTATCACACTCATAAAGACTGTGCTTAAATGCAAAAAATACCGTGGTTAAAAAAATGCAACGCCAGTTTTAGCCACGGTTTTTAAAACAGTGGACAACTTATTTAGCAACGATTTTAATGATATTTTGCCACGGTTTTTGCCGTGGCTAAAGAGAAATTTTGTTGTAGTGTAATTACTATGTGACTTTGCCACTGAATTTATCGGTTCCAAATCGACCCGACCGGGTCGATCCGATTTTCTTAACACTAGTCCTTTTAGTTTTCTCATATGGATGATCAGTCGAGTTATTTGTACGGATGAATCATACCTTTTTTTTTTTCAGTAGATGGTGAGTCTTCATTAACTTAACTATGTGTAAAATAATTAATATTAAAAATAAAATTATCTATTTCTATGAGATGATTATTATCTGATGTTAAATATTCTAAAAAGTTGATGCATTAGTAACAGGGTTTGTTGACTTTTGTCTCTTAATTTTCTATTTTTTTGGGATCTACACATCTTGGATAACAGACGAATAAAAATTATCTTAGCGGTGTAAATGAGTCAAAACTTAATCTAAAAAAATAAATTAGGTCTACATAAATTATTTTAAGCTTAATTTGATTTGTTAGTGTGACACAAGCCAAATTATAAATTTAATTTTTTTTATTTTTAGAAATACAAGGCTTTGTCCTAACCTATCAAGCCTATCAACCTTCAAAAATAATATATTAATAATTTAATTATGTTGTTGAAAATTAAAAAATAATCAATCGAATCGAATTATATTGATTTTTAATTAAAAAATTAAATTTAAAATAAATTAGACTTTGTATACTGTGTATAAAAAATGAGTACAAAAGTATTTATTTTAAGACTAATCAACCATGACATTTAAACATAAAAGATGTAACTAACAAATAAGTGAAAGGCAATCAAATTAAATTAATAAAAAGAATTTTCCAAAAAAAAATAATTAAATAAATAAAGGAAAATAAATAAATAAAATCACTCATAAACACGTGCTCAACAAACAAGAATAAGATATGTAAATGCATACAACACTTATAAGATAAATAATATGTAATTTTTTTAATAAATTTTTTTAAATATAAATAATTTTGTCAATGAGACAAAAAAGAAGAAAAAATACAAAGAATATAAACTTATTATCAATTACGAAACTATTGAGAGTTCATGGATGGTTTAGAAGGTATGAGAAGTTAAGAATGAGGGGGAAAAAAAATAAAATCTAGCAGAGGAGATAAGATCAATGATGACGAAAGAATTTAAGATTAAGAAAAATATGTTTATCAAGTGAGAAGATAAAAGATTATGAAAAATTAAAATATCATAAGGTTTTATTTTATTAAAAAATAACAAGATAAATAATAAGATATTATTTTATTGAAAAATAATAGGATATTATTTTATTGAAAAATAGCAAGATATTATTTTATTAAAAATAAAATATTATTTATTAAAAAATAGGAGCTGTGCCTGAAGTAGACCTGCTAAAATAGATTTGTGGTCTAATTTCTAAACAAACTTTTTAATAAATTTAAGACTATTCTATTTTTAAAAGGGCCCAACCTAAGTCAAAGTCAAATCAAGCTAATAGGTCTTGATTTACAACTTGTTCAAAATAATTGTTATAACCACATTTGATAGACATGGTATAATGAAATAGAATAATATAACATAATATTATATATATGCAGTATTCACTCATCAAAATTGGATAAGAACTAAGTAGTTTCAACGAAGCACAATGATAACAAAGTGAATTGAATTACATACGTACGTCTCTCTCTTGAGTAACTAACGAAAAAAAAAATCTCAAGGATAAATTTTTTTCCCATCAAATGAAACAATTAAGAACAGGTGTCCTTGGGTTTATAAGATCATTCTCCGATGGCGTCAAGTTCAAGTCCAAGCACAAATTAAACCTTGCAGCATCTTTGGATTTCTTCAAGAGACGCAAGGTATGCTTATGAATCAGCATACCATTATTAGTAGCAGCTCTATGTTTTCTCATGTGCCCTCCCAGAGCTTGTCCAATTGCAAACTCAAGGCCACAAATTGGACACGTGTGCATCCTGTGTTTCATGGTCGTGCTTGGTAACGGGTAATGACACGAAAGGTCTCCTCCAAGCATTAGCTTTGGCTTCTTGTGACTTGCTCTATGGCCCCCAAGGGCTTGAAAAGAAGAGAACTTTCTATTGCATGTTTTGCACTTAAAACCACCATCCTTTAACTCTCCCTCCCTCGATGGTTTGGTTTCACTTTCACTTTCACCAACTTTGGTAATTAACATCAAACAGTTAGGCTTAGCCAATATACCCTCCTCTTCTCTGCCTCTCTTCATAGCTTACGTTGGTCGGTTGATTTAATGGTTTACTATAGAAGAAAGTACACGTAAGCTCTTGAGATTTGAGAACTCTCCCAAGTATCAAAATAATGAGAGTTTCAAGGCACTGCACTCTTATATATGGATAGGTTGTAGCATCGGTGAGGAAGGTTCATGTATAGCTACTACGACTATGACTATTGGGAATTACGCGTAATAAGCGGCAGAAATTACCCTTGTCTTTTCCTTTGCAATTAAGGAACGAAGATAGTGACATTAGGTCAGGTGTAAATACGCGACAAGTTGAGAGGTAACGTCAGATAGTTTATTTTCCCTACGTTTGCGTGACCGCGTACGTATCCATTAGGAGGTGACCTATATGTCTATGTTGAAGACTGAATAATCCAGCTGAAATTACTACTGATTTGACTATACAAATTCTGCATTATATTATAGAACTTTGGAAGAAAAAAAATGATGTTCATGGGACGAAGAATTCAAAATTTAAGTAATTTTTGCAGGGTAACACGTTAATTGATGGAAAAAATTATTCTTATGTCACATGATATAAGTTTTTTTCTCTTATACACCTTTCGATAATTATGTATATAAGATATACTATCAATATTACATAATATTAATTGGTTGCAAGAGAAATTTTTTCTCCTACGACATAAAAAGTTGGGAACAAAAAGTAAATCACAGCATTACTTTAATTTTTTTTTATAAGTAAAATGGATACAAGGAGTGTGTACTTTGACCACGTGCATTCAAGTCATGAACACCCTGAGGTGCAATGAGAATAATGCATGACACGTAGCATAACATAATGCATGATTTAAGCATATATATTTTATATGCACATTTCACTCGCATTAAATAAATAAATAATGAGATTGAAATTCTTATGTTATATAAGAATTTCCTCCCTTCTTGCGAAGAGAAAACATATAGCTGTCAACTTTTTTTCTTTTTCTTTTTTTAAACTTCCATGAAATCCATGCTATTGTATTTATGCAGGAATAAGTTGAAATTTTTCTATAACATAAGAAACATTTAACTCATAAATAATATGTCAAAAGAATTAAACTGATTATATATTTATTTTTTTCACTAAAAGAGTTTTAAAAGAGTCAGAAAAATGAACTTATGTTATTATAACAGAGTTTTCATGTAAAAAACTACATGCAGTCTTAAAAATGAAAAAAAGAATAATTTATTCACAAGTGAAATTATGTATCAATTTGACTGCGGAGAATGTTTGAAAAGAACAAAGAATAATATGAGAGATGAGATGAGCATGGCGTGTGGACCTTAGACAATTTGGTGTATGAAAGAAGGAAAAAGAGAAATACTGAGCAGCAAGGATTTTTTTTTTTTTTTTGTATATGTAGAAGCTTCAGGCAAAAGACTATGAAAATTTCTTTATTATTATGGGAGTACCGAACTCGGTATTTCTTTTTATTAAAAAAAAGATTTTTATTTTATTTTAACTCATATTTTTTTTATAATTTCTTTTAAGTTCAATTTTTTTTTCTCTTTTAATATGGATGGAAATATATCTATTGCACCAAATTTTTTCTCAAAAACTAGATTACAAAAGCAATCGTATGTGCGTCCAAAAAAAATATTAGTTGACTAAATAACGAATGCGGTGCGTCCTCACTTGTGAGTTGTTGTGAGTGTGAACTCATCTCTCATTTTCATACCACTGCTTAATGAATTCCAATGCATTAGACCAATCATGTATCATTGCTTAGAATTATACCCTTTTCTGATTCTTAACTAGGGTACTTTTCATTTTTATCTTTTTCATTTCTAAAATAATATAAGGTTTTGAATAAAAAAATTTAAAGACGGCCTAAGGATCTAAATTTTGAATAAATTGAATCATATTACAAAATGTTATCCACGTTACGAAAAAAGAATGATTATTTTTAATCTCAAAAATAATGAAAATTACACATTTTTAAAATTGTTATGTAACATTTTCATTTCTATAATCCAAAATAAAAATAAAAGATTCATATCTAACCCCACATAAATTGATATAAGGTTTGTAAACCAAATCAATAATAGCTTCGGAATTTCTCCAATCCATTCATTCATTCAAGGAATAAGTTTGAATCTGACCGTACTGGATTTATTATAGGTGTTATTATTCATTCTGTCTCCATGAGTTGTCTCTGATGATTTTTTTTTTTTTTATTGTTGAAAGATGCCAGAGTGGTACTCCCTTTTAATTATAAGATTTCAGACTATTTTAACTTGATTCAATGTCATTCTTTCAATTTATTTTAATTGAAAGTAATATATAAATTTATTATTTAGAGCATAACTTGTGTAGATCAATACAGAAAGTACTTGTAAAGTTTTCTTGCTAGTTGCTTGTGGTCCATTGGAGGCTATCTCGTCAACTTTTAATATGAAAGCTTGGAGAGTTTCTCGTGGGAACTGAGAACTCTGCCTATCAAAGTACTGACCAGAAAGACAAAGTAGTCAAATATAGACTAATAATCAGCATATCAGTCTAATGAAGAATGAAAAATAGTATACAAAATTACAAACATTATCTGTTTTTTTCACTAGAGTTTAGAAATAAATATAAAATTATAAAAGTGGAAAATTAATATGAGAATGTTTATTTTCGTTTGATCCAATATGTATATGATATAGTTTTTTTTTTCACTATAATTATTACATGAAAAATCAATAATTTTTTTATTATACAAATATTTATTTTAATTTTAATTTTTTTTTTACTTTGCATATTTTCAATTTTTAAAAAAATTTTAAAACACAATTGAAATTTATTCATTTTTAATAATTTTAAAAAATACTTACTTTAATAGCATTCAGTTACAAAGTTTTGTATTCATTTCATTTAGCCTTAACATATTCATCAATTCAACGAATACATTTTTTATTGAATATTGAGAATATTATAAAATTTAATCAACCAAATTTAAAATCACTTAAGGGTTACACGGGCTTTTGAGTCTTTCTTCCGATTCACTGGGCCAAAAAAGAGGAACTCATATTTTGCTTCGTTGTGTATAGACTGTAATACTAACCGAAGTGAGAACCAAACTTGCAAGGCCAGAACAAGAAACAACACTAGCATGTCATGGGGAAAAAAATGCCGCCCCCAATCCTAGTTAGGAGACCAGACATTGATGAGTACAGTGATAGTGTTAAAGAGAAACAACTCAATCACAATACAACCAGTTCAATGGAAAATGAATTGCAGATTGTAAGCTTGTCACCATCACGATCACTCTTACCTTTCAAGCTTCCAGATACTCATAAGTATTTTGAGTATCAAAATTGAATTTTTCCAACATGACCTCACATGAGCCATATATTTTCATGTATGTCGAAAATAAAGTTATTTTCTACAATAGGAAAAATATTAATCCCAAAATTAAAATATAGTACCAGTTTACTTTTTTTACAAATTATTTACTTGTCTAATGCGAATGAAATACACGAATATGCACGTCTAAATAGACACTAATGTATGATTTGTGCAAAAATTCACACAATACAATATGCACATCTTGACCGTGCATTCAAACAACGCACATGTCTGATGTACATTCAAGTTGTGCATGCTATGGTACGCGATGAAAGTGATGTGTGACACGTGACAGGGGTAATGTGCAATTTAAATGCGTACACTCCACATATGTATTTCACTCGCATTAAATGAATACATAATTTGTAAAAAAAATAAAAATAGTACCATTTTTTTTTACACTAAAAGGGTGAAAAAGCCATAAAAATGAACTTATGTTACTAGAACATTATTTCATCTAAAAAACTACATGCAGTCTCAAAAATTAAAAATAATAATTTATTCAAGAGATTAAGGGTGTGCATGACAATCATTATGTTCTCTGGCACTGTTTTTGAAAAGAAACAATTCTTTTTTATTTCTGTGCCTTGAAACAGTTTCTGAGAGAAAAAAATGTGTTTGATAATATGTTCTATTTTTATTCCAAGAATGAGAATTGCGTTTGATAACACAAAAAATAATATAATAAAAATAATTCCTATTAAACATAAAAAAATTTGGATCATCACTTTCCTTTTTATACGATGATGGTGGCGGCGGCGGAGGTGGCGTGGTGGTGGTGGTGACGGCAGTGGTTGCGGTGGTGGTGGTGATAATGGTGTTGATGGTGGTTGCATAATCGTGGTGGCCGCGACAGTGGTAGTGGTGGCGATGGTGGTGGTGACGGCAATGGCTACGACGATGGCGCTGGTGATGGTGGCGGCGGTGGTGGTGATGATGAAGGTAGTGGTGGTGGTGGTGGTGACGGCAGTGGCTGCGGCAGCGGTGGTGGTAATGGTGGCATAGTGGTGGTGGCGATGGTGGTGGAGGCGACAGTGGTGGCGGTAGTGGCATGGTGGTGGTGGTGACAACAGTGGCTATGGCGATGGTAGTAGTGGTTGGTGACGGTGGTGGTATCGATGGTAGTGGCGGTGGCGGCAGTGGCTGCAATGATGATGGTGGTGGTTGGTGGCGATGGTGGTGGAGGCGGCAGTGGTGGCAGTAGTGTCATGGTGGTGGTGGTGACAACAGTGGCTATGGCGATGGTAGTAGTGGTTGGTGACGGTGGTGGTAGCGATGGTAGTGGCGGTGGCGGCAGTGGCTGCAATGATGATGGTGGTGGTGGTGGCATGGTGGTAGATATGGATGGAGGCGTTGGTGATGGTGGGAGTGGCATCATGGTGGCGGTGGCGGTGGTGACGACGATGGTGGTAGTGGTCGTGTCGAAATGATGGTGGTGGTGGTGTTGATGGTAGAGATGGAGAGTGATTGAAAGAGACAAGTGTTTTTTATTTTGTGCCTGGGAACAAAAAAACAGAAATTTTTTGATTCTTTTTTCTGTTCCCCAGCACAAAAATTAAATTGGTTCATCCCGGTAACAAAAAAATAAACCGGTTTTACCAAACGAGTTTCCTATCCATTTTTGTTTCCGGGAACATAAATTAAAAAAGAACTGATTCCGGAAAAGTTGTCATGCGCACCCTAATATATTTTATGTTATATGAGATAATTTTATCTTCTATATATAAAAAAA